GGGGCTCGTCCGAGGGGGCTGCAGAGGGCTATAGGGTCCGCCCGAGGGGGGCTGTGGGGGTCACCTCGGGGTGCTATAGGGCCCGCCCTGGGGCAGCTATACAGCTCACTCTGGGGGGGCTATAAGGTCCACGTGAGGGTGACTGTAAGGCCCACCATGGGGGGGGCTATGGGACCTGCCAAGGAGGGTACAACACCCCTTCTGCCCCCTCCCCAATTCTCCCCTGTACTCTCAGAGCGTAACCGGGGCCGACCTGATGCGCAAAGGTGTGACACCCCCCAACCCCACACCCCCCGCAGGGTTTGGGGACCCCTCGGTCAGTCCCCGAGCAATAACTGGGAATGCAAGTGTGTCCCCAGGGTCCCTCCGGGCTGCCAGGGTGGGTGAAGGCTGGGGGGGGTTGTGCTGCTGGTCCCCTCGGAGTCTCCCCTGCAGGTGCTGCTGCACCCCTGCCTGCGCCCAGTGCTGCACCCCTGCCCACAGGAGCAGCAGCTCCCAGGAGCAGATCTTGCTTGGGTTCCTGGTTGGCTTGCGCCTTCGCCAGGTGGCATGGGCTGAGCACAGGTTCGGATGGGAGCTGGGGTTCAGCGCTGGGCTCCTTGCACGGGACAGGGCTTGGCTCTCCGGAGCTGGCAGGGCTTTGGTGCGGCAGCTGGGAGAGAGGGGCTGGCAGCTGCCTGACGTGGGAGTCCCTTTCGCCCTCCTCACCTCTGCCCAGGGGTGCCAGGTCTCGGGTGGAAAAGCGAGGCCGGTGGTGTTTGTGCCCTCCCCGGGCTCCTGGCGGTGGGCACGGGAGCGCGGAGGTGGCAGAGCTGGGCGCGCTTAAGCGTGTACACGTGTGTGTGCATGTCCTCCGAAGGCACATGCTTCCCGTGTGCCTGGAGTGTCATTAAAAATGTATTAATAGCCACGTGTAATTAAATACAAGAAGCTGCAGGAAAACACATATGAAAGGGCAGACGGCAATAGGCAGGAAGCTGGGAGTTCCTCAGAGCGCATCGTTGTAGGGGCAGGAAACATCTCGGCTCTGTGCAGCACCGAGCACAGAGCTCGGTGGCAACGGTTGTTTGGGAAGGACCCCAGCTCTCTGGTATCCAGGCTCTCTCCAGGCATCGGAGGGGGTCAGTGTTCAACAGCAGCTTGTGTGTGCGTGCGTGTGTTTTTAATTAAAAAAAAAAAAAAAAAGGCAAAAAAGCAGCAAAAAAAAAAAACCCTTAGGAGTTGAGGGGGGGGAAAAACCCCCTCCAGTTGCATTTCCCTTAGCTGCTGTTGCAAGAGCTGTTCGGGAGGGGATTGGAGCTGTGCGCTGGTCCTCAGCTGGTTCCTATTAGCGTTCCTGTTCGCTTTCCTCCCCGCACTGGAGCGGTGCCCGGCTCGCACCACCTCGTTGCACGGTGTCAGTGCACAGCTGCTTGCAGGGACTGTACCAGGCTGTGCCGGTGACACGGGAAAAAACCTCCCTGCGCTTGGGGCAGGGGGGGGTGGAAGATGGGAAGGAAGGGCCTCGGTGCTCGGCCTCCTGTATCTGCCCTCTTCTTGCTGGGGTCTTCAGCCCCCTGTGCTCCAGGTTGTGTCCACTTTCCAGGGCTCCCGCTCCTCCTCATCCTTTAAGCTCTGTCCCTGAAGCATCTCCACACCAAAGCACAGGAGGTATCGGTGAGTCAGCCAGCCACGCTATCAGGGAGACACACACTCCTCCATCCCTCGTCCGGCGGTAAGAAGAAGAGCAGCAGTGACGTGGAGCCAAACCCCTGCGGGGACTCCGGCGTGGCTGGACTTTTTATTTTTTTTTTTTAAGCCCAGCTTTAGCAACAAGGTGCCCTTTTGCAGCCTGGCCCCAGGCTGACGGCCACCCCGTGGGCTGGCGAGCGGCGCTGGGGGCTGCCTGTGCGGGGAAGGAGCCAAAGCAGCGGAGCTTCGGGGATGCCGAGGGGGTCTCACAGCAGATGCACCACCGGGGTGTCACGTGGAGCTGCTTCGCTTCAGCACTTTTGCACAGGGCTTGGGTCTCCCTTCATGTTTGGTTGCTGCCCCCCGCTCCCTGCTGTCGCACAACCGCAGCAGGGAAGGATTTGGGCGGGGGGCAGTGCTGCGGCCCCGCTGAGAGCTGCCTGCGCTTTGGGATCCGCAAGGAATGGCAGCGGGCATCTGCCGAGCAGCCGCGTTCCTTCCTCGGAAGCTGGAGGAGCTGCCGCCTCCAAACCAGGCGAGCCCCTGCGTGCGTGCGGGCAGGTTGCTGACGAACCACGTGTGAGTCTCCAAAGTTAGTGGCCTGGAATTCAGGAGGGATAAGGCTCAGTAATCCCGTTAAACCCGCTGGAAAGGGCTGATCGGGCAAAATGAAGTAGCGCGAGGACTTTGCGGGCAAGGCAGAGCTGAGCGTCTCGACGTGGAGCCGTTCACCTGCGGCCAACGTGCGTGTGGCTGATGAGGGCACCGGCCCCAGGGTGCACCGTCTTCTGCATGGATGGGCCACGATGCCTTTTGCTTGCTGAATTTCTGGTGTGTCCCCCCCCGGAGCCTGGCAGGACAAGGAAAGGAGAGAGCAGAGTGTGGCACCCTGGTGGGAACACAGATGATCTGCCCTGGGAAAAGCAGCTTGGTTGCTTGAGGAGGTTCAGCCCTCCCCAGCAGCAGCCCACCAGGGACGTGGTGGCTGGCACACCGCTTGCCGTGCTCACCCCGAATCCAACACCAGCCAGCCGTGTAACGAGGGGTGTTAGCGCCGTCTGACTTCGGGTGTCTCATTCCAGCGCTTTGAGCTTCCCTCGGGAGGCTGCATGGGGAGCCCTATATATAGGCACCCTATATAGGAGTGTGAGTTGCTGAGTGGGATGTCTAAAATTAGCTGTCCCACCCCCGAGCACCGCTGCTGCCGTAGCACGTTCCCTCACCCCCCTCCTGCTCCACCAGCATCACACCTGCTCCGGCTCCCCAAACCCAAAGGGGGTAAAGAAATCACTCTCGTGGGGAGCAGCGGCACCCCAGCACGCTCGGCCTCAGTGCTGAGCAGGAACAGCGTGGGGCTGAGCATCCTGCCTGTGTGGGGGACAATGGGGCAGGGGTTTCCCGTGGGGCGATGGAGACCCAAACCCCTCGGTGCTCCGGAGGTGACTGAAATCGCCACGGGATGGGGAGAGGAGCCCGGCACGGGCAGCAGCGCCAGCCCCTGCATGTGCGCGGGCAGGCGGCCAAGCCGGGGCGACGGGAGAACAAAACTCTCTTTCCATCTGCGAGGAGCCATCAGAGCAATGACACGAGACGTCCCCAGCAGAGACGTCCCTGCCTATCAGCGACCCGGTCCCGTGGGGAGGGTCGGGAGGAGGAGATGGGGCGGTGGTGTTTGCTCCGTGTTGTTTGCTGGCTTGGTTGGGGTTGGTTTGTTTTGTTGTGGGTTGGTTTGGTTTTTTTTTCATTTCGTGCCAAAAGATTTACGCTGATTTTTTTAGGAGCGATTCCCAGGGTCACTCAGGTGCCAAGTGCGCTGGCAGCACATCTGGCCTGCGCTATTCCTGAGCTTCCAGGTGAAAAATGGCAGGATTTTCACCCAAACTGACAGCTTGGTGCAGCTGAAGCCTTGTGCCTGCAGCCCCGTGCAGAGCCCCGGTACACACATGAGCCCCGAGGCCTGGCAAACTCGTGCCATCAGTTGCAGGAACTTCTCTGGCGCTGCTTCTTCGTGCTCTCTTTTGCCTGTTATTGTTGCCTTTGCCGTGGTGCTTCTCCCCGGGGTCTGCTGGTGGGGAGGGGGTTCCCCCCATGCCCAGCTGGCACGGCAGGGATGTACAGGCATCGGCTCTGCCGCCCTTCTCCCCTCTCCAGCTCTTCACCGATGGCATCACCAACAAGCTCGTGGCTTGCTACACCGACGAGGGCATGGCGGACGCGGTGCTGGTCCGTGTCTACGGCAGGAAGACGGAGCTGTTCGTGGACCGGGAGACGGAGCTGAGGAACTTCCAGGTGCTGCGCGCCCACGGCTGCGCCCCTGACCTCTACTGCGCCTTCCAGAACGGGACCTGCTACCAGTTCCTGCCGGGCATCGCGCTGGGGCCCGACCACGTGCGGGACCCCCACATCTTCAGGTGTGCAGGACCCCCCACGTCCTCGGGTGCGTGGGTCTTGGGGGGGGGGGGGGGGGACCGTGGGATGGGGGAACCGGTGCTTCTCCAGGCATGAGGGGTTTGCTCTGTGTTTCCAGCTCTCCCCCTCGCTGCCTTTGCTCCAGACGGGTTCTTGAGCATCGCTGATGTGCACAAAGCTGGGTGGTGCTGGGCCAAACTGCAGCCGGGTTTATCACCATGGTTTTAAAGCGTCAGCTTTTGGTGAACAGAGGTTTCACGAGAACCATGGCTTTTATCTGAACTTGCCCTGGAAAAGTGAATTCTGCTTTCGGCCCAGACAGGGTCTTGAAATGGTTCGGAGGCTTGCGCCTGGAGTGGAGGGGAGTTTCAGCTGCGCTGACCCTGCGTTTTCAAACATGTTTTTTGGGGGAACACCCCTCAAGAGGTCTCGAGGCTGGTTCTGAGGAGCGCTCCTCTTGGGGATGCTGCCCCACGGCCACCTCTCACCCACGCACCCGTGTTTTCTTCCAGGTTGGTGGCCCAGGAGATGGCCCGGGTACACGCCATCCACGCCAACGGGAGCCTCCCCAAGCCCATCCTCTGGCAGAAGCTGCACAAATACCTCGCCCTCGTGAAGACGGATCTCAGCCCAAAGGTATCCAACCCCAGGTAAAGGCAGAGGGATCCCAAAGAGCCAGGCTCTGCCTTGGGCATCCGCTGCCCACCCATCTCTAAGTCTTTCCCGTACGGGACCGGGGGGGGGAAGAGCCCCGATTCCCAGGTAAAGCCTCTGTGGGGGTCTGGGGTTGGTGAGCGGGGCTGGGGACGGTGCTGGGGCTGGATCCAGACACTTCTGGATCACGATCCCTCTGTGAGCAAACTTGTGGCCAAGCACCCAAGAGCAGGTGGGATGGAGGCATCCCCCTGCACCCGTCGGTGCCCTTCCTCCTGCCAGTCCGGGGGCAGTGGTAGAGCAGAGAGAGCTCTGGGTCGTGTCTGTACAGCACCCGGGCAGGATCTGGCCTGAGCCAGAGACTCCCACCTGCTGTAATAATCCGCCTCCTCCTCCTCCCTGCAAATCTAGCCTGCATTTTAAGCCCTCCCTAAAATAAGCTGAAGCTCAAGCCCTTCTTACGGCAGGGATCTGAGCAGCAAGGTTGAGCTAACGTTGCAAGGGATGCTGGAAACCCAGTATAGATTAAAAAGCAGCCAGTTCCCATTTCAAACCAGTTCATCCCATTTCTGGGAGCCTGGGTTTACGCTAAGTGAGTGCCAGGGTGTCTGGGAAGGATGCGGGCAGCCCCAAGAGGCAGTGGAGGTGAATGAACCCGAAGGCAAGCGAATAATTAACCTGTTCCCTGAGCAGCAGTGGCAAGACGCAGGGCTTTTCTCAGCACTCGCCCTGCTGCAGGCAGACTTTACCCAAGCCTGCACCTTCGGTGCAGCTAATTAGGTAATCATTAACTGGCTCTCTTGGAACTGAAAATTCTGTGGTTACTGAGAAGGTACGTGCCCTGGCAGAGTCCAAAAAAATTCCCGTTGCCTGCGGGGCTTAGTTGGGCGCTTTGGGAGCGAGCACTGCGGGGCTTGGTGGCGGGTTGGGTGAATTTGGGGGACAGATGCGGGTGTTAGTGGGGAGAAGGGAAGGGCTGAGGGTGCACCGTGGCGTCTGCCAGGCTCCTGGGGTACCTCCCAGCATGCTGGAGGACATCCAAGCCAAACCTGCCCTCCCCACCAAAAATGACCCCGTTAGCCCCGCTCTGCGTCACCGACGAGTTCGTTTTGAAACACGCACGGAGGGAAGCAGGGAGCAACGGAGCAACGCTGCCCCTCTGCCCCCGAGGGAGGTTCCCCGTGAGCAGAAGTGATTCCACCCCATCCCCTTCCCCAGCCTCCAGCAGGACATGCCCAGCCTGGAGATGCTTGAGCACGAGCTGGCCTGGATGAAGGACACGCTCTCCCAGCTGGGGTCCCCCGTCGTGCTTTGCCACAACGACCTGCTCTGCAAGAACATCATCTACAACAGGACACAAGGTTGGTGGCAGCAGCTTCACGTGCCCCGTGGAGGGGTCTGTCCCTCGCCCACCTCCCCGGGGGCCAGCAGCTCCACAGCCCCTCTCACAGCCCCTGCTTTTGCCTCCGCAGAGCACGTTCGCTTCATAGACTACGAGTACACCGGGTACAACTACCAGGCGTTTGACATTGGAAACCACTTTAATGAGTTTGCGGGTGAGTCGGGCTCCTCTCCGTGGCACTGAAGGTCCTCCCCTGGGTTGCAGCAGCTTCCCTGGGGATGGAGGAGGTGTTTGCATCCCCAGTTCCACGGTGGGCAATGGGGCAGTTCGTCCTCTGGGCTGCCCGGGGTTAGAGCGATGGGTGGGGGGGTCTCTGTGCTGCGCTGCCAGCGACGAGCGGCAGCCAGGGCTGCAACGCCTGCACTTAACCGTGCCAGGGCTGCGTGGCTGCCTCAAACCAGCGGGTCAACCCCCAGCTCGTGCACTCCTGGAGCTGCAGGGGTTTTGCTCACCCTGTAGGGCGTGGGGAGACCCCCGTGGCCACATCGCTTCTGCCCTGGAGAAACCCTCCTTTTGGCCCTTCTGCCCCTTGGGCTTCGCTGACCCCGGCTCCCCTCACAGGCGTGAAGGAGGTGGATTACCGCCTCTACCCCGGCAAGGAGACCCAGCTGCAGTGGCTGCGCTCCTACCTGCAGGCCTACAAGCAGCTCACCCAGGGGGACCGAGGAGGCACGGGGGTGTCCGAGGAGGAGCTGGAGGCTCTCTACGTGCAAGTGAACAAGTTTTCTTTGGTGAGTGGTGGAGATGGGAAGGAGCCAGCCTCTGTCTGTGGGACGGGTTTTCCTCTGCTCTCTGGTAAGCCAGGGCTTCATGCTGCAGCTTGGCTGGTGAGGGCAGGGGTGCAGGTACCGGCCAAGGGGTTTGTGGGACACATGGGGCAAGAGGCTGACCCAAAAAGCCCGGCTGCACCTCAGAGGCACTGAGCCCCCGGGCAAGGTCAAAGATAGCACTGGCTGCCCACCATCCCACCCACATGTGCCAAGGGACAGCGTGTCTCTGATAGCTGTGGCCTTGGGCATCCCTTCAGAGGGGCCAGGCACAGCCGAGCGTGAGGAAATCCTCTTTGGTAAACGCCATGGGCAGGCAGAGCCAATTTTCTGGAAACTTGGGGCAAAATATCAACTGGTTTCCTGGCTGGAGCTGCAAATGCAGAGACTGGTACCCTGAGCACGTTGTGTGGCTGTTCAGCATCCTTCCTGCTGGCATCCCTTGCCTGGGCTGGGATCAGCCCCCCGGAGCGTAGAAAAATACACGTGTGGGCCAGCCCCAGCTGGCTGCCACCCCATGTCCTGTCGTCACAGCCGCAGGACTTCTGGGACCCGGCCAGGAGAGGCACGAGTGACTCATCCCGCGGGCAGGGATGCTCCGTGCCCGTTTCTGATCCCTGTTTGGTCTGTTGCAGGCATCCCATTTCCTCTGGGCATGCTGGGGCCTGATCCAGGATAAATACTCTACCATAGATTTTAACTTCTTAAGGTGAGTCCGCGGGGGTTCACTGTTAAATGGCTGGAGCAAGAGGATCCCAATGGTCCTTCCGCGCTGGAGGGATCCTTGGCGAGCGTGGGGCTGGGGGGACAAGGGTCTCATGTCTGTCCCTCTCTCTCTCGGCAGATATGCAAAGCTAAGGTTTAAACAGTACTTCAAGATGAAGCCGGTGGTCACAGCCCTGCAGATCTCTAAATAGCATCGCTGGCCTGTGAGACCCCGAGCTATTTTTGTCCTCGCTGCGTCCACAGCCCTCGCGTCTCCCTCTCCCCTTCCCCACCCCAGCTGGGGGACGAGGGCAGGTCCTGAGGGTGAGAAGGGGGAGGAGAGGAGCTCTGACCAAGCCACCGATTAAAGGAGACCCCGGACATACCTGAGACTGGACCATGAGATGCTAGAGAGGACCACAGCCTCGGAGAGGCTCCCGCC